GCTGGCTTGCAGTGTGGGTAATGTTTATTTCCACCTCTAACTTATCCTCCTCTTGGCCAGAGTACCTTCCATGCTTTCAGATGAGTGCTTGGTGTTATCTCCATGACCCTCTCCTGACATTAAATGAAGTTGGGCATTGTCTCCTCAGCAAGGCTGGAGTTGCTGTTCTGCTTTGCAGAGGCTCTGTTCAGTCTTTTTAGCCTCCTCATCCTCCACGAAGCCATGGAGGGGGAAACAGCTGTGTACTTAGGAACCATCACATTTGCATTTTCTTTCTGGTCCCCTGAGACCTCAAAAGCTCTACTAAATGTTTCTCCTCCCAGCAGCAGACCTCTTCTGGGGCATGGCCTACATTCCCAGCCTCCTCCATAAAGGCAAAATCAGCAAATTCCCTCAGGGAAAAAACACTTCTGCAAAAGTCAGCTCAGTTTTTAGAGGTTCTCCTCTCCCTGGAATTCTGCTGTCTCTAATTATCCCTGTTTCAGCATGTCTCTGATGCTGTAGGCCTGATTTTTATATTTTATCCAAATTTTCTAGTTGCTTTTGGTGGAAGTACTGGTCTGCTCTCTTTAACTCTTCTTTACCACAACATTTAGGTGTCACACATTCTTGACTGCCTGGCTGCACCTTTCCTCAAGGGACTGCAATTCTTTCTACACTTTGACATGCTTATTACACAGAATAAGAGTGTTTGGTAGGCTAACTTTCCCATTAGACTGTTTGCTCTTTGAATAGAGAAACACTGCATTATTCATCTGTGTACTCTTGGTATCCAGCAGTTGGCATCTGAGAATGTATAAGAGTCGTTCTTTTTTTTTTTTTTTTAAGATATTACTAGGTCAAAATGGATTCTTGTCAACATATTTGAGGTTATAAGCTAAATATTTTAGGAGGGCAAAGTTCCCATAAATATATATGGCATCCCTAAGTTAAGCATCTTGGGATATTCCAGAGGAATCTGATAATGTGAGAATTATCAACACATCATAGCTTTCAAACAATTTAAACTTTCAATAACTTGTTTTAAAAGATTTTATTTATTTATTTGAGAGAGAGAATGAGAGACAGAGAGAGATGAGAGGGGGGAGGGTCAAAGGGAGAAGCAGACTCCCCGCCGAGCAGGGATCCCTATTCAGGACTCTATCCCAGGACTCCGGGATGATGACCTAAGATGAAGGCAGTCACTCAAACCAACTGAGCCACCCAGGCACCCTCAATTTTAAACTTTTAAAGCAACCTTTAGTTATAACTTTCTGAAAACTGAGGAAGCAACTTTTTTTTCCCTCTGGATTCCATAATAACTCAAGTGCTGTCATTTGACCTCTCTTCACTGATAACTCTTACCAAAACACGATACCCTGGATGGTAGGGGAGGAAAGTCCTGAAGAAGCAAAGTGCACTGTCAAGGGGGGTGGGAGGATGGGTTAGCCTGGTGGTGGGTATTGAGGAGGGCACATTCTGCATGGAGCACTGGGTGTTATGCACAAACAATGAATCATGGAACACTTCATCTAGAACTAATGATGTAATGTATGGGCATTAACATAAGAATAAAAAATATATATATAAAAAAAAGAAAAAAATTTATTTCTTTGGTTCATTATATATATGGTTTAATGATTTACCAGTGATATAAACAATATCATGTTTTTGTTTTAATAAAATGGTGTTGTTGAAGATTGTGTGTCATCTGTATTTTTACTGTTTCTCCATACCACAGTTTAGAACCTTTACAAGGGAAAAGGAAACATAATAATTATAGAAATACAAGTAAAACCACATAAAAATGACAAAGTTGAAAAATTGGACAAATTTTTAATCCTGACCTTTGTAGAAAAGTAATAGCTTTAAAATAATTTTTAAAGGTAACTATGAATGAATGACATTATTATTGAGTATAGTTTCAGAATGAGCTTTTCTTGGGATTTTTTTTAAAGATTTATTTATTAATTTTTAGAGAGAGAGGGTACCCATGAGAGTGGTGGAGGAGGGGAGAGGAAGAGGAGAGAGAGAATCCCCAGCAGACTCTCTGCTAAGCCGGGAGCCCGCCGTGGGCTCAATCTCAGGACCCATGAGATCATGACCTGAGCCGAAATCAAGAGTCAGTCGCTTAGCTGACTGAGCCACTCAGGTGCCCCTTCTTGGGCTTAATTTTAAAAAAAGAAATATCATGTACTTTGAGATGTTCAAATAAATGTATATATTTATCTCTAAAAAGAACACAGATAAAATTAGATGAACATTGAAGAGTTCTATTGTTGGGATAATGATAAATTTTTCCACCTGATTGAAGTAAAACATTAATTTTGCTACTTATGAAAGATAGAGTTTGACTAGCTATGGCCATAGTTTTGAGGCTCCTCTGTGTGGATAATTTACACTTATAAGTGTAATATTACACCCCCGATAATGCATGTTGTGGTCGTGTGGATTATCATTTTCATTATAAGGAACCCTTTAAAATATTGATTTAATTTTTATTATGGTGAGTTTTTATCAAGATTCTTTGTTGGCTATCTTATTGTTCATAGCACCACTGGCTAATATTATTAGATACATATTTCATATAGCATCACATACTTTTAATGCTAAAATACCATAAAAACATCCCATTGCTTTTTGTCTTTATTTACTTCCTTCTTGAATAATTTCACATTGGTTAATATGTAAGCTTTTATAGAATATATTGTACATATTTTGATTCATCTGTTTATAAATGTGACAATACATTCAGAGAAAATGATGTGACAGATAATGTACTTCAATGAAAATAACAAAATAAAATAAAACAAAGGGTGTTTGTGACAAGTATCACAGCTCTAACTTTCAAAGGAAAATGAAAGTAGGGGATTTGTCCTTGAAAACTGGTATTACGACCTTTTATTTTATAAGCATTTACTTCATGTTTAATGAGAATATGGCATATTTTCTCTCAGGTTAGGGGAAAATAATAGCTTTAGACATTATCTTTGACCCTCAAACTATAGAGGGGATATGAATAATGATGAAGCAGGGGTAGAGAGCATTTTAAAATAGCCTACTATGTCTCAAAAAGGGGCATTCAACTATTAGAGCTAAGAATAACTTCTATAACTTTGAAATAGCTAGCACAGGTCATTTTCAAAAATGGATTAATTTATACCCTTAGAAGTTTTTTTTTTTTAATTTTAATATAAAATCTTTGGGCTACAAGAGACAAGATAACATGTTAATCCAGGCACAGGTTTTGCAGAAAAGAAACTGAGGCCTGGAGCCATTAAGTGATTTTCCCCAGCCATTTGCATAGAGAGCACCATGTGATAGTCTCATCTCTGTCCCACTGTGTCCATCCTCCTCATTTCTACTTCATGATTTCCCCACACACCCTTTTTTGAAAGAAGTTGATTGGGAAGAATATTTAGCTGGAGATCCAATCTTTTGTCTATACAGTGGTGCAAAAAGAACTTCTCTCAACTAAAAAGCCATAGTCCTCATGTCATTTTGACAAAGGTCACCCAATCAGCATGAAATCATGTTTTCTACAGGGTGAGTGAGACCTACCCCATGGACCTATTACCCAAAGCAAATGTTGAGCCTTGAAAGCACCCTCTGCTTTCAGTGAATAAACCAAAGCCCTCAAGAGGGGTTAAGCTAAAGATAGTAGTTGTGGTTTCTGGTTATTTATTACTTCTGGGACTCAATTTTTTTATTAAGTAAGCTAATGGCTGTAATTAATATTTTAAAACAGTATTTGATATAAATTATTAGCAACTATTTTAAAGACAAAACATCTTCTCGAGACATAATGAAATTGTGAGTACACATGAAATTTTCCTTTTTTAAGAAATAAAGTGCAAAAAAAAGACCACCTTAAATAGATATATATTACAAATAAAGTCTTATTTTTAACAGTTACAAATACAAATGCAAAATATGTAGATTAAATTAATTGTTCAATGAGTTACATCTTAATTATTTCATTGGCAACATAACTTCAATCAGGAAATCAGAATTTTATAAAATTAGGCTAAACATTACTGCATATGTACATACCTACATACACACACATTTTTATTGTATAGAAAGGTCACCTGCATTATAATAATCCTATTGGCAAAATTGTGGGATAGATCAAGCTGTTACTATTTCTGTTTGGCACATAAGGACACTAAAACATGCAAGGTAAATTACTCTCCTAAACATTTCACAAGTGAATTTTAAACCAGAGGTGTTCTTGTTGCATTCTCTTTTGATTCTGAGCTCCTTCCATGTTTGTAAATTTTAACAATAATGAGTATTCTAATGACAGTTTCCGTAAGGATTCCAAGTTGAAATGTAATTGCATTATGTTATGCATGCTCTTTTCATTTCTAATAACACCTCAAAAGAGATTAAGTGTCATAATTCTTTCTAAAAGTATGTGTGAGGGGTGCCTGGGTGGCTCAGTCATTTAAGCTTCTTCTGCCTTGGACTCAGGTCATGATCTCAGGGTCCTGGGATCGAGTCCCGCGTCAGGCTCCCTACTCAGCAGGGAATCTGCTTCTCCCTCTCCCTCTGCCCCTCCACACTCTGCCCTCCACTTGTGCTCGCAATCCCTCTCTCTCTCGCAAATAAATAAATAAAATCTTTAAATAAATAAATAAAAGTATGTGTGAGACAGTGAGAATAAAAAATCTATTTATTGACTTATGGCCTAGAAAATAAAATAAAATAAACAACAAATTTCTATTGCCACCATCTAGACTTCATATTCTAATTTTCTGTTTTATTCCTAATTCTTTTTATTCCCTTTAAGTTGTCTCCACTTGTAGAATAAGGAAAGGTAAACATAAATGAAAAGTGCACAACTCCAGCAATATAAAGCATGTATCTGAGAACAAAATACCTAGAGGGTCTTATATGCCAACATTGTGGAAGTGGTAGTATTGCCCAGTGAAGAAATGTGCACATCCGAAGGGACAAATGAATACTTTAGAGGTCTTAATATGAGAACCATTTGTATTTTGTGGATCAGGAATTACCTTTAGAGGTCTAACTATGTTTGGTCTCCGGCATCCATGCCAGTGATCTCCCTTGTTCATCAGTTTGGCCTTTGGACCAGCAGAATCAGCATAACCTGGGATCTTGGTAGCAAAGAATCCCAGCTCCCAGCCCAGACCTATTGAATCAGAATCTGCAGTTAACAAGTTTCTTAGGTGATTTGTGCACACATTCAAGGGTAAGAAGCCCTGAGCACCCCATCAAGCTTCTCTAACCTGTCTGCTGACTTACTATCTGTTTGTAGTTTCTTCAGGGCAGGGACACCTGAGCAGGTTTACCAGATGAGAAATTAATGATCTAAACCCCTTGTTGCACCTGTAAGGGGCCAAGTTCAAATCACACGCTGAACTATTGCAGACTAGAGACAATGAACTAGATCTAGGAGATAGATTACTGTATGTAAGCAGGTGATACTCTGCTTGCAGTCATTGTATCACTCCCTATAGGTGGCTCTAGATAGTCAAAAGGCTGTTGCTGACATAACTAGATACAGATATATAAGGTCATTATGAGAAGGCAGGTACTACATTGACCTAATGGTGTCCGTGACTTAAAAAGAAAAAAAGAAAAAGTCTATAACAAAGGACTGATTTTAGTAATAGACAATACAGTAGAAATAAAAACACTGACCAAAAAAACACCATTCTCACACATAAGTTCCAGTGGCAATAATGATATCCTAAAACTCACCTTTAACCTTTTATTAATGCGAATTCAACCAGAGTTTAATTTAGTTGTATTATGCTTTCTTCTAGAACTCTAATTCAAAATTTTTATCATTTATTGGTGAAAACTTTGCTTTCAAAATTGGACTTCGATATGCATGTGGGCTGGGTTTCGCATATATTTTTCATAGTATTTACTGATCTGCTTCCTGATAGTGTTTGATATAGATACTAAAGACATATTGAGACAGAGCAAAACAGAAATTATTTTTAAACTATTTTCTTACTCTGCTCATGTTACCCAAGGTATAGAAACTGAAAGTAAGCTTAACTTTTAACATGAAAATATCTTTATTCAGAATGAATGCATATCAGCAGAGAGAATTTCTGAGAAAATAAAAGGTTTGATTTATCTCCGTGAAAATAATGGCTGATAACTGAAATACTAACAAACCATGTTTGTAGAAAAAGAGGGCCCTCTAAAGTATCGACTCTTAAAAATACAGATGACAAATCCATTGAACCTTTGATAATATTGACTATTTTCACAAAACAAATTCACATAATTTTATCTCAACTACACACATTTCTAGGCAACAAAAGACAACAATACTAATAAAATCATCAATGATAACAATGGCACATATATTGTGTTACATGAAATTCACATGTAGGTTAAGCTATGAGAAGAAATGGTTCCCGTGGTAAGTGTGAGGCTCACAGAAGCACTTAATGTGTCCTTCTAAAAGAGGCTGTCCTATGAAATAAATCTATCCTGTTCTCAAATGACCTTAAAAGGAAATTTGATATTAGAAGAGAGTCACCATATATATAGCCCCCATTTGGTTAGAGAGAAGGAATAGAAATACACAGACATGTTTCTGGTCCTCTAAATTATGTTTATTAAATATTTAGCTCTGGGGCGCCTGGGTGGCTCAGTCGGTTGAGCATCTGACTCTTGGTTTTGGCTCAGGTCATGATCTTGGGGTCCTGAGATGGAGCCCTGCGTGGGGCTCTGCACTCAGTGTGGAGGCTGCTTGTGACTCTCCCTGTGCTCCTCCCCCTGCTCTCTCTATCTCTCTCTCATAAATAAATAAAATCTTAAAAAATATTTAGCTCCGATTGATCCATACATATATATGTATCCATACACATGCAAACATAAATATAATAAAAGTACATTTTTATTCTTTTTGCCATATTTATTATATTTGATTTCATGCCAATAAATTTTCAAATTCTATCTCAATTTTAATCTCTAAGGGCTATGTAGTAGTATTTCCTCTAAAATGGTAAATATGTATATATATGTGTATGTATATATATAAGTTGATAATTATTTTTGTTAAATAAAGATACATCATCTACTTTTAGTATTTAAAATTATCATCTAAGGGGTGCCTGGGTGGCTCAGTTGGTTAAGCGACTGCCTTCGGCTCAGGTCACGATCCTGGAGTCCCGGGATCGAGTCCCCGCATCGGGCTCCCTGCTCAGCAGGGAGTCTGCTTCTCCCTCTGACCCTCCCCCCTCTCATGTGCTCTCTCTCATTCTCTCTCAAATAAAATAAAATAAAAAAATCTTTAAAAAAATAAAATTATCATCTAAAATATCTAATTAAATTTAAGAAAGTAAATTATTTTAGAAAATATAATACTTTGCCTCATTAATGTAAATATCCAGTTCCACACAAGATTGGCTAATTGACCCATAATTGGTCAATTACAGCTATAATTATATGCAGTTGCTATCTTGTCTACACAAATAATCATAGGTGACAAATACATACACATTAAAGAAGTAATCATTCTTAAAAATAAAATCTTTCTTTTTTTTTTTTTAAAGATTTTATTTATTTGACAGAGAGAGACAGCGAGCGAGGGAACACAAGCAGGGGGAGTGGGAGAGGGAGAAGCAGGCTCTCCCCTGAGCAGGGAGCCCGATGCGGGGCTCGATCCCAGGACCCTGGGATCATGACCTGAGCGGAAGGCAGACGCCCAACGACTGAGCCACCCAGGCGCCCCAATAAAATCTTTCTTAATTTGTGTTCTCCAAGGGCATGTGGATGCATGAAATTACAATTGACAAGCACACATATTTTATACATTTTTGAAGAAATTCTAATCACCTGGAAAAATACTTTCTGTTACAATATAGACAGAATAACGAGCAGTTGCTATCAAAATCTGACGTGTCTAAACATCTTGTTGTATGAAAACCCATTTGCCTGAAGGGTGCCTCTCACCTGTAACATGGTGCCATTCCCGTGGGATTGATGTCCTCCCTAGTTGAACTCTGGGCTGCTTTGCTATAATGGGAAGTTAACAGAGACAGCTGACATAGTAAAAAGAGCTATCGCCACCGCTAGTCAGGGTGTGATCTAGGGCAGTTACAGAGCAAATCTAGAATGAATAGCTTACAGAGGAAGGAAGAAGGAAATCTGCTATTTAAGCTTCTTATACCTTCTAGATTATGGCCTTCAGGACAACAGAGAGACCTTCTAAAATTAGCATTTCTTTTTTGACATAACATAAATCAAGCGAAAGTAGTAGTAACCTTTGTTACCCTGTAGTTTACTGAAATATAAAGCACCTCAAAACCACACTGATTAGCAGACAAATACCTTCTGTTTCCACAGATGCTAAGTACTTATTGATTTAGTTTTACCTGCTAGTGGTCATTAAGCCCGGGAAAAAAAAATGACCACAACACCATAAATCATTATCATGCTGAAGCATTGATTAAGTACCTGTGAGTACATGAAGGCATTTGGCCAAAGGAGACGAGGAGAAGCAAGTAAAAATATGACCAGTGGGAGGATGCGATGATGAAAGAGAGAATGTGATACAGCTGTAGGTTCAAGCCAGAATTACGGCTCAACAGGCTCGACAGGCTCTGTGTGGGCTCATCAAGTCTAACAGAAGAAGTGCAAGCACCCCCAGGTCTCAGTATGTGCTGCTCTCTGCTATGGGATTTATCCAAGCAGATAGTTAAGTTTGGTCTTACAGCAAAATGAGATCTGTCTTCAACAGTCTGTGCCTCTCCATAGAAAATATTAGCAATAGATTTATAATGTATTTTTGGTCTTTTTTGGTTTAAGTTCCCTTGATTTTAATAAATTGGCTAGAAAGTTTAAAATTGTGAACCAGAGGCAGTTATTTTGTGCTGTTTTGGCTCTTAATCCTTAAGAGGACATGGAATTGTCTAGAATGTCTGGCTTCCTCCTAATTACAGGCAGGGAGAGGGTTCTGTGGAAACAACAAGAACTGATCAGTTAGAATAACCTAAGAAATTCATCTCTGTTTTTAAGGAAGTTAACATAACTTCAAAACCATGGACAATTGCAAAATGCCTTACCTGTGCTATCCCTTACATAATTTTCCCTCAACAACCTGAGACTAAAGGAGAACTACATGATTTCAAAGAAACTGCAGCTCTGCCCTCATCTTCAGAAGAGCCAGAGAACACTCACAAGGGCAAGTGCTTTTTCTTTCCACTCTGCCCACTCTGCACCCTCATTGGCAAGTGCAAGGCCACACACCTTTGAGCTGATTGAAGCATAACAAAGCTAACTACCTGCTCCAAGAATCAGACTCTGGCTTTGGGCTATAGCTCAGAACAGAAGTGATCTTTGCTGAACAGAAAGAAAGTTAAACAGATGCAATCCTCAGTAACAATCAAGAGAGACAACACTGATGCAGGAGAAAAAAAAAATTGTAAGGGCAAGCCGACATTCAAGCAACTGCACAGACACTGAACCCATAAACTAAATGAAGCATTAACAGGTTATATAATTTCAATTTGAGTTTGGGGATGAGTGAAACTTTTTGTAAGGAAGACTCAAGGAAAAATATAGACCAAACTGAACATGGAAATCAAACTTTTGAAAGCCTCTCTTTCACCCTCTTCAGAAATGGGTAAGATTTTGACCTTCAGTGATTGACAGCCGTATGTGCCATGGGAAGAATCTAGTAAGGATAAATGTTTTATGTTTAAAAAATGAATGTCCTGACTCATGATTAAAGCAAATGAGTGAGTAGAATCACAATTTTCCGGCTTCTAAAACATATTACTGATTCAAAAAAATATTGGCAATACTTTCTTAGCTTATACATTAATTTGTTCAAACATTGATTGATGCCCATTATATGCCAGGGGCTGTATTAGGCACGTGGTGCCTAAAGGTGATAAGCACCTGTCTCTATAATAAAGAAGCTATGGTTATAAAGAAGTATTAAAATAAGGAAACATCAGCAGATAATGATGTGATGATGAGTGTTAATTATCATTTTTGTATATCTACCAGAAGATTTCTTAAATTGCTAGATTTATGTACCATGCCCATAGCAAAATTAAAAAAAAATGGTTTTTAAAATCTCCTATTTAAAATGGCATATCTATATATAGATATATATATCTTAAACTACAACACACATAGAAATAGCCTGACATTCCGGTGTTCCCCAATAAT